CTTTCCACAGTACCATTTTGTTGTGGAGAGTATGGGCAACCACTTTGATGAACTATTCCAAGAGCAGAAAATAAAGCACTACATTTAGAATTGAAGAATTTTGTACCATTGTCAGATCTCAGTACTTTAACATTCATGCCAAATTGATGTTTTATAATTGAAAATAAATTTGTCAACATAATTATAACTTCACATTTGGACTGTATCAAACATACCCAAGTATATCTACAATAGTCATCAACAATTGTGACAAAGTAATATTTCCTATCATATGTAGGCTACTTATAAGGACCCCAAACATCTAGTTGTACAAGCTGAAAACTACAGTCTGTTTTATTCGTGCTATCTGGGAATGTTGACCTGTGTTGCTTTGCCATTGGGCATATTTGACACTCTTGTTGAGTATGCTCATCTGCTAAACCTTTCAAGGTAGGAATGTGCTGCATTGCCTTCATGGACGGATGTCCTAATCTTGAATGCCATAATTTTGTGTTATAGTTTCCTTTGTTGTTGCTGCTACTGGTTTTATTGCTTTTCTAAGGATGTAAATACCATCTGTTTCTCTACCAATCCCCATCACCTTGCCACTGTAAAGACCCTGTAAAAAACAAAAGTCAGGGAAAAATTTAACAGTGCAAACAAGATCCTTGGTCAGTTTGGATACTGAAAGTAGGTTGAACTTGAAGTCTAGCACATATAGAACATTTCTTATCCTCTGTCCCTCTAGGATTATTGCACTTCCTATATCGATTATTTGTGACTTTTTTCCAGTTGGTACCTACACTTTTCTACTTTCCTGACTTCCTAGTTTGTTGATGTCAACTAGTTTCTCCTTGCAGGAAGTGATATGATGAGAGGCCCATGAGTCAATGATCCATTCAAAGAGAAAATCATTTGACAATATGGAAACAACACCTGCCATGTTGACTTTGCAATCACCAGCTGAAGATTTGTTCAACAAGTCCACAAGCTGCTTATACTCCCCCTTTGTGAAGTAATGGCCTTGAGACTGGCTCTCAATAGAACTATTCCTTTCAGCAAAATTATTTCCTTCAACTGTTGCATTATTAGCATAGGTCTTGAAGTCACCAGCATCCTGCATTGACTTTCTTTTGCTTTTGAAATCAGGTGGATATCCCACAATTTTGTAGCGATTCTCCTTTTGATGCCCCTTATACCCACAGTCTTCACATATTATACCAATTTTTTTGCCTTTCATCATTTGTCCCCTTCCAGCTAACATAGTCAATGGCTCCTTATTCATGTCTATTACACCAAGAGCCCTTTGGTTTTCTTCTTGTATTACTAAGGGATATGCTTGATTTACTGATAACACGGGTGTTTTTAACAAAATTTGGCTGCGAACGTGATCATAGGTCTCATTTAATCCTACTAGAAATTGCACTAGACGTTGTTGATAAAACATTTCAAAAAATGGTTCTGATTCCTTACAATTACAACCTCTACCTGGTATTAAGGTGTCTTGTCATCCCATAAGTCTTTCATTTTAGTAAAGTACGCGGTTACATAATCAGTACCTTGAGTTAGGGTTCCAATTTGAGTTCAAATGTGATAGAATCCAATCAAAATAGATTTTCCAAACCTCTCTTTGAACTCAGCCCAGACCTTTGCTGCATTTGATGCATAGACGATGCATGGCAACAGTTCCTGCGACACACATCTCCCAATCCATGAGAGAACTACAACATTACATTGTTCCCACAGATCTGCTGATTCTCCTTTGTATAAACTCTTCACACATGTTCCTTCTACGAAACCTAGATTGTTCTTCCCCAATAGAGCTAAACGTATCGATTTACTTTTCTGGGCCTATTAGCTTGATATCTATCAGAATTGCTCCAAGCGTATCGGATGGTTGAACATATAGTGGATGACGATGGTCAATTTGAGGTGTTGAGGTGTCTCCCATGGCGGACAACTCTAGATATGACAATGGCAAACCAGCTAGGTGAAGAAGAAGAAGCAGATTTAGAGCCCTAATTGCTCTGATACCATGTTAGAAGAATCTAGAAGCTAAGGTAAAGAACAGAGGAAATGAGGATGAGAGAATGAAAATATGATTTTGTATATCTTCTTCAATTAATGCATGAGCACTGTACATATATACACAACACACCCGAGTAACTAATTAACCGACCTATTACAAAAGGGTCACGTGAGGCACGTGATTCAATAATAAGAAACAAATATTTTGTTTGGTTAACTTTTTCTTTTACTTGTGGCTCCAAAATACTTTATTCAGTTTCTAATATGTGTACGACAATAAACCTTGTTTCGTCTATGTGGTGAATTTAGTTGAGTTCTTCCAAACCTAATATTTTTTATATGAAATATAAATACATGTGTGAAAAGTTACAAAAGTTATTAAAATTTCAACAATTACGAAATTTAAAACTCATTGCAAATATGAATGGATTCAGAGGTGAAATTAGGTTGAGGGGTTACCTCGACAAAAACTCCATATATACTTATAAATATTTTTAAAAAATAGTTAGATATTAGTATAAGTTCCCGTACCAATCTTTATAAGCAATAATAAATTTATGTCAAATATCATGATGCCCTCACTACCGACGAATCTTGGGTCCGCCTGTGTCGGCAACTATCGGAAGATAAGAGATAGTGGTAGCAAATCTTCCTTACTATTTTTCCTTTTATAGAATCAACGAGTACGTAAAAGAGGTGTCGTCCATTATAATATTTGCTAATTTTGGTGATTCCTTTTGAATTATCCCTATAATCCTAATCAAATCCCTAAGATAATATCTTTATCTTGCTTTTATCTCTTGTGATCATCCGTTGTAGTTGTCATAGTACACTTGAAATATTATCTTGGCTGGGACGTACTAAATTAATTAATGGACCTCTTAATATTATTCTCCTTGTGATGATTTTTTTCTTTTTGGTCTTATCCTTGTGATGATTACATTGCCTTTTTGTTATCTTATATTGTACAGCCATGATAACTAGGAGGAATTATTGGTAAACCCACAAATGAATGTTTCTATAAAATATTACTCATTTTTTGCTTTCCCTAGTTTATTATTATCTAATTGTCCTAAAGGATATGTCAAAATGGATAATCAAATGGAAGAACATCATCACATTAAACGTCGTATTAGATTATGTTGTAATGGAAGTTTTGGAGCAACGATAAAATTGTCTCTATATAATCTATAAGTCGCGGATTCGAACCATGAAAACAATCACTAATACTTGCATTAGAGTAAGTTGTACATCACACCTCTTAGGGTACGATCCTTCCCAGAATCCTGCATAAACGTGAAATATTTTGTATACCGGACAGCCCTTTTATCTTAATGCCTTAACTATTTCATTAATTAACGATTACTTATTGTATAGCCCCACTAATCCTATCATCATTTACACATATGATAACGTATACTCCATATTGCATTGAATGAAGTGTACCAATGATGGCATAGCCACACTCCTAGACTAGTTCTCCAACTCTTCCTAACTTTGCGATTTTAATCATTTTTACTTTTTATTTCATATATTCAACAATTTAAATTAGTTAGAATATATAATTGGGATATTATTCTCCAAAAGCTCTTGGTAAGTTGGTGTGATCACATCATTTAAATTAATTATGTAATCATGTATCTAGTCAATTTTTCAGCACACTATCAATCATATCCGCCATTACATAGAACTATTAGATTATTTGAAAATACAGTAGAAAGGATCGAAATATACTATGAGGTTGAGCATAGAATAAACAAGAAAATAAAACGTCTGAAATATTCCAACACATTATATTGAATAAGAATTGCTTCTGGATAGGGCTAGATTACACTAGAGTGGAGTAGAGACCAACTATTTGGAAATAGATATCCTCCAAAAGTCCAAGAGTAGCTAAGTCGTGCTATTCCCTCTAAAGGAATAATTCTCCAAAGAAAAATTGGGTTGAAATGAGGAAAGTTTTGACATTTGGATCACGTGGCTCTTGTCGTTCTCAACAAATCAAAATATTTTGTGCTCGAGATTTATATTCTCCTCACGTAATCGAGGGAAAATTCAATTCGAAGCATTTTGTGTTCACGCAAAATTCAGGAAAAGGCTATACCCTAATAGGCATGATCAAGCATCACGCGTTCATTTGTCAACGCATATTAACTATAGTCTTTTAATAGCGATATTTTTTTACATCTGTTCCTAAACAATTTCCCTCAATATACAATTATAGGGACGGAGTTAGTGGCGGAGCCACGTTGAACCAAGGTGTATCAAGCGACAACCCTTCGCCGAAAAATTACACTATATTGCTAGATAATTTTTTATATTTTATGTATATTTATTATACGTTGACTCCCCTTGACTTTTCGATATAGCTAATTATTTATTATTTGACACCTCTTAATGAAAATTCTGGCTCCGTCACTAGACGGAATAAGGAAAAAAAAATAAGTGGTCCATAACACAAACTATATAACAGAACAGTTGACCTTTAATATGGACAAAGTGGTTCAATGAAAACTGAATGTACGTACAAATACTCTATTATTCATCAAAAAGTCTCCTTCTAGTTCCAACCTTCAAAATGAAGAATATTTTTTTGATAAGGAGTCTTTTATCTCTTTACTAAGTCTACTCGCACGAATTTGAATTAATCGAACTATTAAAATCCGAATGGTTAAATAAAAAAATGGTAAGGCATGGTCAAACAGTCCCGGTTAGTGACATGGGATGAATGGAGAGACAGAGCTAGGATTTAAAGTGTACGGATTTGAAATTTTAGTCTTTTAATTTTAAGTTACTGAATTATGATTAATAATTTATACATATACAATAGTAAATTTTTTTAAGACAATAATAGTATTTGGACCCGAGCTATAGAGTTCAACCGAACTCATAACCGAAAAACTAGCTCCGCTCGTAGGGTTAATGTTTTTTGCTTTTGTCTTTGAGTGGCCTATAAATAACCGTCACCATTCTTTGTTTCTTCTCACCAAACTACACTGAAAACTTCACATGTTCTCCCTTCTACGACTCTCCTCATCTCACATTGATCTCTTCACTGCAATTTTGTTCTGTTAATTATCTGCAGAAAAAAGAAAAGAATTTATAAGGGGTCTCTCTGCAAAATCTTTAAAGCCCTTATCCATTTCTGTTTTTTTGGAAAACTGTGTCAGTTAGGCTGTTGCTCGTTATATATATACAGAAACATTTTCAGTGATTTTGGTTTTGCAAAATTATATATGGAGAAAGCAAAGCAAGTAGCTGGTTCATCTGCTTCTTCGTCATCCTTTACCAACGATCTGTTTGGTCCCAAAGAGCCGACAAAATCGTCGCTCTTTGGTTCCGTTTTTGGCCCTCATTCCACGGTATATATAACTATACTCATTATTTAACGTTGCAGTATCCTTTATAAGTTAGCAACACCTCTACTGCATCTATATTCCTTTATGTTATTTCTTATATGAATTCAAGTTATGTGCATGGAAAATATAAGCTTGTACGTTTTTTTGCATTAATACTAGGTAACTTTTCATCATATCAAGTTTGATGCAGTAAGCTGGAAAAATAGAGCAAGAATGTACTATATATAACCAGTTAAACTGCACTGATAGTGTAAAAATTTTTTGCGGGGACATAACTTTATAAATTCATTCCTTATATGCACCTTATACTATTCTCTTCTTTCTACCTAATTTCGTGAAGTTTTTTTATTCTGCTCCACGGTTTAGAATTTTAGATCAAGAAAATGATCATTCTTTTCATGTTGTAACAATTCTGAGTTGCAAACCTCTTTTGTGTTTTTTGTGGGTGTATACATCTTGTCAAATAACCTCTAAATTCTTAGCTTATTTTAAAAATAATAATGTAGAGAGGGACTCAAAATTAAGCTAGCTTTTAATTATAGCTCTACTACTTTTAAGCGACAGAAGTCCATTGACTAGCTAGAATAGAATATGTGATGAAATAATTCTCTAGTGAGCAACTTGCTTACTTGTAGCAAGGTTCCTTTTTGCTTAGATTATTTTAATTTCTTTTATTTTTTGGTTCATCTATTTTAGATTTTGTTTTATTTTCTAATTTATTTTTCTTTTCCTTTTATATAACTGTAGGGACTGGGAAGGGATACCATTCACTCTGGAGTTAGAGGTTTATCAAGAATCCAAGATTCAGGAAACCAGTCATTTGGCAATGCAAAATATGGAACTTCAGGTTTCTGAAAATATTTTCCTCACTTATTTAACAGCTACTCAAAATGAATGAAATTTGTTTGCAACTTCGTGGTTTAAAACATGTCATGAAATTTTAGACCATAAAAGCATGTTGAAGGAGAGACTTGGAGCAACGTTAAAGTTGTCTCCATGTGACCTACGGGTTCGAGCCGTGGAAGCAGACGCTAATGTTTGCGTTTGGGTAGAATATTTATGTCAAACCCCCGGCGGTACGGCCCTTATATTCCCCGACCCTGCATGAATACGGGATGCATCAGACTGCCCTTTTTATAAAAATATGTCATTATGGATAAAATGAAAAGTTTAAAATATAGAAATATGTTATTCTTTTGCTGAATGTTGTGTTGAACTCCAAGTTCTATTTTAACCATTTTAGAAGTTCTATATTTACAGAAAATGGGTCTCAAAGAAGCAGGGGAGATATCAAGAAAGCCATATATCAGAATGAAACAACAGAACCATGCCATTTGAGCTCATCTATATACTATGGTGGTCAAGATGTTTATTATCCAACTACTCAGATCCCTGGCTACCAGAATACTGTAAGTATAGGCAGAGGCGGATCCAGAATTTAAATTTTATGGGTTCAGATTCGCAATTCTTTCACATCTCATCTAATTTAGTGGGTTCAAAATCTATTATTTATACATATTTAATGATTTTGGGAAAAAATACAGAGTATGAGCGAAAATCATGGGTTCAGTTGAACACGTAGCTTCTGCATTAGATACGCCTCTGAGTATAGGCAGTTTCTTTCGAAGAAAAAATAGGAAGCTTAAAGTAACGAGTTTTCAAATATAAAAATGTGTCATTCTTTTTAGGTCAGACTAAAAAGTAAAGAATGTATTTGTCAAATGGAAGATAGGAAGTAGTTGTTTTTCAATTTCTAAATATTGTTCTTTTCTATTGACTTGATCAGTTCAAGAAAAATGAAGAAGATGATAGTCAAAATGGAAACAATTCAAACTGTGCTTCAAGAGGAAATTGGTGGCAAGGTATGAAACTAATGTTGAGTAATATATAGCAAAAGAATATTCTTTTCAAGGTGTAGCACCTTTTTTTAGCAATGTCATAAATTTAACTATATATGTGTTTCTTTTTTAACCTGCAGGATCACTGTACTATTGAGGTCTTGCATTTTTCCATGCAAATCTGATCAGCCCCTTTGTTAGGAGATCAAAGAAGGAAATCATCACCTACAAGGAGTGGTAGATCTTACAACATTTGATCAGCCCCTTTGTTTCTTTTTCTTGAAGTTGCGGTCTTTCCCGGACCTTACATGAATGTGAGATATTTTGTGTATCAGGTTGCCGTTATATTTATGATAGTAATTCTATGACTTTAAGACAACTTGTACATGGGTTCATGAGTTCAACAGGACCCACTATTTCAGTGTTGAACCATATATATGAATTCCGCATATAAGTATAAATATATATTTCAGAATCCACTCTCTTGTCTTATATCCACACCAGTGGCGAAATCAGGAATTTTTCCAAAAGTATTCAAACTTGAAAGAAGTAAAAATAACTCCCCGAAAACGGGATATCAATATATTTTATATATCTCTAAACCTAATATCTTACCTATAAACACAGTGTAATTTTTTGGATGAATGATGGTCAATTGATCCCTTAGGACAACATCTAGATTCTGGATTCGTCACTTTGCTTCTTACATTAAGTCAGCAATCTTTCGACACTATTAAAGATTGCAGATTTTTGTGTCAAACCAGGGTTTAAACACAGTTTAATGATCTGTGTAGATACACAGTAATAGACTAACAGACATGCATGTAGTTTAATAAAAAGATGATTGATAAAAATCAGTTATAAAAAAAGTAAGTTTAATATGGAATCCAAAATATCCATCCAATATACATTTTTCAAGTTGATATACATCATTTCAATTTAAGTCAAGAAGCAAAAAATTCAACAGATGTAAATAGCCAAGCTGCTTCACAAATATTGATGTTCCTAATTTGCTATAACGTGAACAGCTTAAGAAATAGGCTGGAGAAGAAGTAAAATATGATATGATTTCGCCGTTGCCGGGGATCGAACCCGGGTCACCCGGGTGACAGGCGGGAATACTTACCACTATACTACAACGACTTGTTGATTTAGCAGGTCTGCTTAATACATAATCAGTGGCCAGCACCACCTACATTGTTGAAATAGTAAAGCAGAAGACCATTATCTTTTACCATATAGAATTATGGATTATAGTTGCAGTTTCCAAGAATGGATACTTCTCTATGACGTATTCGGCTAGGTTGTCATCTAAGTCTTGGTCGGAGGTGATCACTTCCAAATTACGGTATCATTCTTTCCTTCCCTTGATTCACGATTCTTGTAGTTAAATTGATCTCCTATGTGTGAGGACCTGAATCGTGGTGGTGTTCTTCTAGAACTTCTTCTACATAGGCTCTGTAACTTCTGAAATTGAAAAAGGAAGCTTTTCCAAGCACGAACAAGATCAAAAGGACTGATCGCTTTATACAATAACAAAATAGGGATCTTTCTTTTTAGTCGGATTCGAGAAGCGAAATACAATCATCTTAATCAAATGAGATAACGGGGATGAGTCTAGCTAGTCCTAAATTCTCCTTTACTCAAGGGGAGATTAAGAAGCTAAAGAAAAATATTTGGCGAAATACATAAAGCGCCCCTTTAAGGTGTCCCCAACGATCATTTGAACACCTCAACTGAGGCCTTCTTCATTAAAACATTGCACGTGAATGAAAAGTGAACTCAATAAATACCCGACCTAGTCAGCCCCGGTCACGTATAATACACCTCCGAATTCGCGTGTGTATAAGTGATCCCAACGGTAATAAACAGATTTTTTTGGTGAAATTCCAAAAAAACCATTAATTGACTCCCTAATTTAAATTCTCAAACCCTACCCTAAAATTTTATTTCACTTCTCTCACTCCTCTCCGGCCACGTCTGTCTTCTTCCTCCCTTTGAAGAAAATTTCTTTTCTTCTCCCCCTCTACTTCTTCTATTTTAATGGAGCCCGTTGTTAATTGCAAATGTGGCCAAATTGATCCTTTAAAACATTCATGGTCTCCATTTAATCTGGGTAGAAGATTCTATGGCTGTAGATTTAGAAAAGCTGGCGATGGTGGATGCGATTTTTTCCGTTGGTATGATGTTGAATTGTCCAAATACTATACCAAAGTCATGTATGAATTATTAAAGAGGGTAAAAAATCATGAAGAGGAAAAGTCGAAGATGATGAAGAAACAGAGGATATTGGTGTGGCTACATGTAATTGTAATTGTAATTGTGGCTTGGTTTTTGAGGGAATCTTTTATTTTTAGGTATATGGTATATGTATATGGACATGTAACCTCATTTGTTTTACTGCAATGTTGTTTTTGATTTATGGCCAATGTTGCTTATTCAATGTAGTTAAAATTTATAATGTATATAATGAAGTTTTCAATGATCAAATGTGTTTCAATTTCTGCAAAAAAATTTATACTGATGAAGCAAAGGTGGACTAATCCGAAAAACTGGGCTAACAAAAGCAGGTTCATATTACATTCCATACAAAAGCAAGGTTCATACATATGACCAAATGGCCAAACTTAAGTTGGTTCAAATTACTTCATGTTTCATACACATGATCAACAAAATACAACAAACTTCTTCCTAAATTTGACTTTGACAAGAGTCACTGGTGTAGATGAAGTAGAGGTTCCAGGTTTCATCTTTTTTGAAAACCGGAGCATCCCTTTGCTTTTGAAGTTGATTCCTTGTGACAGCTCTATTCCCTTTCCATTTAAGACCATTTGATCTAAATCCAAGAACTACATTAGTTTGTGCAGCATTCATCCAGTTTGCACCGGTTGAAATAAGTCTTTCACTTGGCCTACCAGGCTAGAAAATACAGTGAGTTAGTAATGAATATTGCAGAAGCCTAAGGATAGAAAATACAATTAGTTAATAATGAATAATACTTCTCACACTTACATTAAGGATCTAGTTCATGTTTGTGTGTCTGTGTACAAACCAAAACCAGAATTTCTAGTCCTTTTCTTTCCAACAGAAGCAGCAAATAATCTGGCAGTAGTCGAAATAGATGCACCAGATGCAACAGAAGCAGCAAGTGATCTTCCACCTCTTCCCCTACCAGTTCCTCCACCTCTACCCTACAGTTCCTCTACCCCTTCCTGATGGTGTGTTCCTTCTTATTTTTGATGTTTCAGCACACAAGGAAGATGGGGCCATTGAAGTTTGGGTTGTGGTAGTTGATGTACCGGCAACTCGGGTTGTATTACTTTGACTACCAGCTTGTGTGCTTGATTGAGTTCTTCTATTTGACCTTCCAGATTGTGTGCTTGTTTGTCCCTAGTATAAAGTGACAAGTCATTAATCAAGTAATATGAAAACTATGAAATCAAATTGAAATGGAATTCATCAAACTTACCCTTAAACGGTATATTGACTTGTTGTGACCAACTTGATGGCAAATAGAACATGACATCTTAGCACCCTCTTTGAAAGTTTTTTCCACTTCTTTGGTTCATCCTTGTCCTTTCTTCTGCATTTTTTTGGCCTACCGGGCATTGGTTTAACTTCAGAAGGCTCAACTGATGGATTGGTAGACTGAAGCCACATTTTCATGCTTGGAATTGGCTGAATATAGTACTTGTAAGCAGCCAGGAAAGTGTCTTTCCTATACCAGTGTTCAACATAGTCTTCTGGCTACTCTCAATCTTATAAAAGGCACATATTGCATGTTGACATGGTATACCACTTAACCGCCATAATCTGCAGCTGCATTCTCTTTTTTGTATATCAATAGTGTGTCTATACATGCCTTCTTGCACTTCAAATCCAGTGTGAGCATTCCACTGAACTTCCGACTTCCTTCCTATTTCCTTGTTTTCCTCTAAAACTAGTCTTGCCATAGGAGATATATCAAAAGCCCATGTTTCAACATACTTGATCATATCAACTTGCCTACTGTGATGACCCAAAAGGTCATCTTTTGTTTTAGAATCTATTTCCGTGTTCTGAGGCCTTAAAAACCTCATTTTCTTTCTCCTCGATTTGCGCGCACAGTCCGACCGTGTTTCCGGAAAGCCTTTATATGAAATTTGAGAAAAATATTGAATTTTACCTTTAAAATTGATTAAAGTTGACTTCGGTTAATATTTTTGGTAAACAGACCCGGACCCGTGATTTGACGGTCCCGTAGGGTCCGTAGTAAAATATGGGACTTGGGCGTATGCTCGGAATTTCCGAGGTCCCTAGCCCGAGAAACGAATTTTTGAAGAAAATTTTTAACTGAAAAGTGTGATGGTTTTTGGAAATTTAATAATGTGTTATATTGTTGGTATCGGGCCCGTATTTTAGTTTCAAAGCCCGGTACAGGTCCGTTATAATATTTGAGCCTTATCTATGAAATTTGGTGAAAAACGAAAGTGATTTGACGTGATTCGGACCATTGGTTGAGAAATTAGAAAGTTTGAACTATCTTGAAAATTTCATGAGTTTTGGTGTTAAATTCGTTGTTTAAGATGTTATTTCAGCGATTCGATCACACGAGCAAGTCCGTATGATATTTTTAGACTTGTGTGCATGTTTGGTTTGGAGACCGAGGACTCGGGTGAGTTTTAGATAGGCTACGAGTGTTTTGAGACTTAAGGAATTTGCTGGTGTGTTGCAGATCTGCAGAATTCGCAATTACGAAGTCTGGCTCGTAAATGCGAGCACCGCATTTGCGAAGAATAATTGTATTTGCGATGACTGGGCTGGGTGGGGACCTACGCATTTGCGAAGTTCATCGTCGCAATTGCGACTTGCACAGTGACCCCATTTTCGAACAAATGTTCGCATTTGTGAAGGTAGCAAGCCAGGCCAAGCTTCGCATTTGCGAAGCCTTGGTCGCATTTGCGAGTTCGCATTTGCGAACCTGTGATCGCAAATGCAATACCTGCAACTGTGTAAAACATAACTTAGACGGGATTTTCACCCATTTTTCAATTCTCTCGAACCCTAAACCCCCATAGGCGATTTTCCAAAGACCCAAACTTCTCCAAATCATAGGTAAGTGATTTCTAACTTTTCAATCTATTTCATCTTTTTGCATGATTTCATCTCAAAATCTAGGGTTTTTCATGGGAAATTGGGTGTTCTTGGGTTGAATTTAGGAATTTTGAAATTTGGGGATTTGGACCTCAACTTGAGGTCGGATTCCGAAACCAATTGTACATTCGGGCTCGAGGGTGAAGGGGTAACCGGGTTTTGGTCCGAACTTCGGGTTTTGACCAAGCGGGCTCGGGATCAATTTTTGACTATTTGGGGAAAATGTTGGGAAATCTATAATTGTGTATTGTAATTGGTTTCTTTAGCGTTTATTGATGTTATTATGTTAATTATGGCTAGATACGAGTGAATTGATGGTGGAATCGAGAGGTAAAGCGGTGGTTGA